GTAAAATGGTCTCGGGACGTGGATGGCGCGATGTAAAGAATAGCTTACGGAGGTGGGCTACATATTTCGAAAGGAGATGAGATTGATAAATCACTGCATCTCAACTTCACTCACGGTGGCTCATCCGAGTCTGGAGGTGGAGGAGGGCCACTGACGATCTCGACGCGAAGCCCTTGTACACCCATGACTGCGATTTGATACGAGTCCTCGCCTGTAAGCTATGAATATATATTCAGTGAACCGTCCGGGCTTGAATAAGAACCAGAACCTACGTAAATGTTGGGACCAGATACCCATCGCTTCAAACCCAAGTAAGCAACTGAGATCGTATGAAGATCTCTTTGCAAGCTTACTGTAGCATGAAGGGAAGCATACTCGACTGGAACGCGTAAACTGAAAACTGCCTCTGGCGGTGGCTTTATCCAATCTCGGGCGATGGCATCGAGTTCCTAACAAATTTCAGTCATTGTTAGATGTATGTCAGTAGACGTCAGACGCACTGCATAACTATTAGGGAGCTATTTTCAAGGGTCTTGAGCGGGATATGAGCCACATAAGAGGAATATATGCGTACCATACGGACAGTCTCCATGTCACCATAGGCAAGGGTGAGTAAACGCTGCCGTGCGAGAGCCCTCTGAGCTTGCTTGTTGCGCATATCGTCCTTGTTCTTTGGTCTGAACGTGTCCCAAAAGGACTGGGCAGGAAGACTTGCGCTTGTGGACCTGTCGAGGGCAAGCACCATGAAAGATGAGACGTACGTCGGAGAAAAGAAAATGAGACAGTGCCTACGCTGGAGAGAGGAGCATGACGGTGAACTTGAGAAGTCTTGTGGCGAAGGGCGCGTAATCTTGAAGAGGGACACGATGAGGACACGAGGCGATGAAGACGATGTCACAGTACACCGCCAATTTGATGGATGTCGTACTGTCTTGAATGTTAGTTTCACAATTTACTATTTTGAGCTTGTGCAAGCGAAAAAAAGGGTGAAAGCCACAAGTTACACCAAAGTTAAACATAATCGCCTCCATTTTCCAGAAGAGCGACCCCGGGCCTTAGAATCCTTGCCAATTGCAATGTGGTCACTGGTCAGGTAGTTGCAGTGGTCACTGTCTGATGATGGTGGCAACTTTGAATAAACATCCTTTTGGCCCATTTTTTTTCACCATGTATATAAATGTTTCGAGAGTTGGTACACACAGTTTTTTTCAGATCTTTTCTTTAACATACTGTAAAACATCAGTATGAATATCTTTCTAAATGTCGCGAAACCACTCAGCCAGGATTATCAGTATTACAACGTGCCTACCAGCGGTGTTACCTAGTTTGGAAAAATACCTTCTAGCTTCACAACTCGTCGACAGTGGACTCTGAATATATTTGGGGGAATATAAATAGATAATTGTAACATAAATTTATTTTCTATTTGAGAGAAATCTGTCAGGAAACACGCTTAAGAGGCTATAC